GGTAAAGGCGTCCCACCCTCCTCCCGACCTGCCCCGGCAGCCTCGCCACCCCTCCCGGCCTGGGGCGAGGCTGCTGCACCCGCCCTGGAGCAGGCGGGGGAGCGGGCTGCGCGCCGGAGGCTGACCCGGATCCTGGCGGCGCTGCGGTGTCCCCCACAGGCTCTCCAGGCCGGCCGGCCGCACCTGTCGCAGACGGCACCGGCCCCGCGTCGTCGTCAGGACCCGCAGAATAGTTTAGTGAGCGACAAACATGTCCTCCACGGAAGGGAAATTTTCCTTTTTTTTTTTTTTCCCCTTGTATGATTTGTGTCCCGTATTCATTATCAAACCTCCTAATAGTCTAATACGCTGTAGGTGTGTGCGCGTGTGTGTGCGTGTGTGGTGATCGATTAGATGATGCTGGGAGTAAAATGATTTCCAATATTTGAAGTAGTTATGTGCACGTATGTTTGACTATAGTTATCAGGCATTGAAAGCTCAGGCGCTTCTTCTCATGCCCACCTATATCCTTTTCCCTCCCATCTTTCAACAAGATTGAACTTGACTTTAAACCTTGGAGGCCTAAATAATAATGGCCTAGAAGATTAATGTATCTAATAGTTGTTGGATATTTTTAATGAGATAAATTCTTCAGTACTTCTCGCTGTCCAGGAGCTACAACGATGTTGCATAGTGAGAACACAGCTTAGCATGAAGACTGGCATGTGAGAAGTATAAGTATTACTTATAATTTTATTGTTTCAAAAGTTGGACATCACAGTTAACAAGCTAGTTATTTGACTTGTGCTGGTTTGGTTTCTCGGTTTTTAAACTATTTCCTTGTTTTTTACTTACTAAAGTATTTACATTAGAGTTCACCCTTTGTATTGTACAGTTCTATGGATCTTGACAAATATAATGATATGTACCCATCATTACAGTATCATATAAAATAGTTTCACTGCCCTAAACGTCTCCTGTGCTCCACTGATTTATTTTTATTGTCAATGTAGTTTTGCTTCCTCCAGAATGTCATATAGTTGGAATTATACCTTTCAGACTGGCTTCTTTCACTTAGCAATATGCAATTAAGGTTCCTGTATGTCTTTTTGTGGTTTGATAGTTCATTTCTTTTTATCCCTGAATAATATTTCATTGTATGGATGTACCACAGTTTGTTTGGAGATAAAACAATGAGAGGCAAGAAGAGGAAGGATTCTAAAACTCAGAGGCAGGCCTACTGTTTGTACCTCTTTCTTCACAAACACTTGCCAGCTTTTAAGCAGTGATAGGATAGTATACGTGTTTGTGTTTATCAATTCTTTGCCAAGTTTTTAAACAAAAGGTTGTCTCAAATCTTTTAAAAGTGATATGAATAAAAATACTTGTTTATTTTTGCCCTATGAATTGTAAGTCATTGACATCGACTTAGAGGAAATGAAATGTATCTTTTCTAGATTTGCTAAAAGAAACAAAACTCACTAATGATTTTCTTTTTGGTCTAGAGAGAAATTCCATCGTCCGCGCAATCTTCTTGATGCAAACTAAGACCACAGCAAGGGTTATCCTTGACCTTTGAGGACTTTAATAGTGAAATTTAAAATGTTCTTCAGGGAAGAATGGCGCTTGACCTACACTTTTATAATCATTGGTTTCCTGACAGTCAGGCTGTCTGCCAGTCATAATTGTCCTACCCAGAGTCTAGAAGATGTTGTCATTGACATCCAGTCATCTCTTACTAAGGGAATCAGAGGCAATGAGCCCATACATACATTAACTCAAGAAGACTGCATTAATTCTTGCTGTTCAACAAAAAACATATCAGGTAAGTAATAGTCCCTTGACAACCCTTTATTCCATGTGTTTTGTGACATAAGTGGCTGGTTGACATGGCTCAATAGTTTATATTAGTGATTCTCAATGGGGTAGAAAGGTAGGTGACAAATTCACCCAGGGAATATTTCACAAGTGTGCCCTCTCCTCCCCTAAGCTGTGTCAGAGTTACTGATGTGTGTGTATGTGTGTGTGTGTGTGTGTGTGTGTGTGTGTGTGTGTTATTACTCAGGCGTTTGAGTATAAAAAGGTGGAGAACCACCAGTGTTAGGTTCTAACAGGCATCTGGGATATTGAAACAAAAATGCTACTTAAATGCTTAGCTGCCATTCATATGACACTGAAGGAAACTAAGGCCACGGGTTTAAACCATGCCTTTGCATATTTTAGGCTCCAAACCTATTACCTGAAAAGAGGAGTATATGTCTAAGTGAAACAATTGTTGTTTAGTTGTTTATGAACCTGCCCTAATTCCATAAACGAAGAAATACAAAAACACCCACCTAAATTTATTGAGCACCTAATGCCTTGCTGGAGATAAAACAAATGAGTAAGATGGACAAGGCCTTGCCCTCAGAGCCTAGAAGAGCTAGTGAATGTTGGACAAGTGATTCTTACTTGATTTATTAGCCAACAAAATCCTGTTTTCTCTTAGATCTTTACTTCCTTTTCTTTCTATAATGGTTGTGATATAGGAAGGAAGGAAGGGAGGAAGAAAGGAAGGAAGGAAGGAAGGAAGGAAGGAAGGAAGGAAGGAAGGAAGGAAGGAAAGAAGGAATATCTTTTCATCACCATATATTTGATTCCCTTTACCCTCTTTGTCCTCTCCATTCCTATTCCCCTCTAGTAACTACCATTCTGTTTTCTGTATCTATGAGTTGATTTGGGGTGCGGGGGGATGGGACTGTTTTTTGTTTTATATCCCACATATGAGTGATAACATCCGGTTCTTGTCCTTTTCCGTCTGACTTATTTCACTTAGCATAATTCCCTCAAGAACATGCATTTTAAATAATTAGGCTATATGCCTCTTAACCTTCAACTTGGCCGAAGGGTCACAGGCCAAGATGTGAGACTATACCAGATTGAGGTCAAAGCCAACTGTAGGCCATGATAATTAGAGAGAACGTAAGAGAAAGAGAAGCCAGCAATGAAAGTTAAGAGTGAAAAGTGAGGAAAGAAAACAGAAAAGCAAAAACGGTAAGAAATAAAAGAAATACTAAAAAAGAACCAAAAGAAGAATGGCACTGATAAAAATAAAAAATGGTCTTTGCATTCCATATCCTACTCAGATTCTTTGTGGAAAGAGACATATTATGTATGATGCTGAATTTACTGACTCCATTCAAGGACACCTGGCTCATGCCTTCATATGTGTGTGAGACGCCTCAGGATACAAGAGCTATATGAAATCATCAGGGTTAGATCCATTTCTTAAGTCCCAACTCAACTGTGAGTTGTATAAAGATTGCACTATCAGTGTTTCTATATATATTTTTGGTGGATATAGTTTAGCAAATGGAAGGTTTATTTCTAAATAGTTAAATGCACTGTTAATAATTGGTTTTGCCAGTCCTAGCTAGTTTGGCTCAGTGGATAGAGTGTCGACCTGTGGACTGAAGGGTCCCAGGTTGAATTCTGGTCAAGGGCACATGCCCAGGTTGCAGGCTCAGTCTCCAGTAGGGGGTGTGCAGGAGGGAGCCATTCAATGATTCTCTCTCATCATTGATATTTCTATCTCTCTCCCTCTCCCTTCCTCTCTGAAATCAATTAAAAAATATATTTTTAACAAATTGGTTTTGCCAAAATTACCTTAATTCAGGTTTTTAATCCAATGTCTTTAAACGTTGCTTCTAGTGGTTAAACTAAGGAAAAGGAAATGATTCAGCAGTCAGCAAGCAAGGGAACAAAAGTGTTTGTGTTGGACACCAGAATAAATGAGGTTCTTCCTGCTTGCTGTACTCTTTAGAAAATCCTATTTCACAATAATGCTTATGAACCTTTCATTGCAGGGGACAAAGCGTGTAACTTGATGATCTTCGACACTCGAAAAACAACTAGACAACCCAACTGCTACCTGTTTTTCTGTCCCAGTGAGGAAGCCTGTCCACTGAAACCAGCAAAGGGTCTTATGACTTACAGGATAATTAAAGGTAACGAGAACATTGCTCTTTTTCTTTTGTGATTGGAATTATTTAAGGGTCTGGTTCATGTGAAAGATTTTCTGCAAACGAGTCTAAGTAAAACTTCCAAAAGAGGTCACAAATATAGAGGCACACCAGGAAATCTCATGATTTAAAGTTCAGCTTTTAAACCAAACAGCTTTTTTTTCCAGTGAAAGACCTCTGGGTGATAAGATTTTTTTGTTTTGTCTTTACTTTCTTAAGATAAAAGGTGCACAGACTTTTCAGGAAACATTTTAAAACACCTCTTTAGATCAATGTCAGCAGCACAGGAATAAGTGTTTTGAAAGGGTTAAGACCTATGTGACTATACAGAATTCTAGTATGTTTGTCATTAGGTTAGAATATTTTATAGTCACATGATCTGAAATCAAACTCAGTGGATTTTGTTGTGTAGACCTGTAGAGAAGTTCATTCAAAAATATTAATTGAGTATCTACCATGTAATAAATTCTGTGCAATACATTGGAAATATAGTCTCCATGCACATGGAATTTAAATATTTCTTCAGAATACAGAAAATAAACTAAAATAATTAATAACATAATTATTTGGATATATCTTCATCAGAATTTGACTTAATTTTTCAGGATGAAATGCTTTCAGTATTAAATTTCTTTGAAAGCTTTTGTTATTATACCTTGGATTATTAATATTATTTTCTTTATTCAATAAACAACATGTATTACTTAGTATCATCTGTGTGCCAAGCACTTTTTTTACGCCCCAGGAATACAAGGATACAACACTAAATATAGAAAATAAGTTTCTCGCTTCTGAGACAGAGACAATAACCATAATCCTATATAATAAAAGGGCAATATGCAAATTGACTGAAACAGTGGAATGACCGGTTGCTATGACACGAAATGACCACCAGGGGACAGACGCTCAATGCAGGAGCTGCTCCATGATGGTCAGTGCACTCCCACAGGGGGAGTGCCACCCAGCCACAAGCCAGGCTGACGGCTGACAAGCACAGTGGTGGTGGCGGGAGCCTCTCCCACCTCTGCAGCAGAGCTAAGGATGTCCGACTGACAGCTTAGGCCCAGTCAGGCTGTCTGTTGGACATCCTCTGAGGGCTCCTGGACTGCTAAAGGGTATAGGCCAGGCTGAGGGGACCCCCTCCCCGCAGTGCACAAATATTATGCACTGGGCCTCTAGTAAATACATAATCAAGAAAACTGTAGCCGAAACCGGTTTGGCTCAGTAGATAGAGCGTCGGCCTGCGGACTGAGGGGTCCCAGGTTCGATTCCGGTCAAGGGCATGTACCTGGGTTGCAGGCACATCCCCAGTAGGAGATGTGCAGGAGGCAGCTGATCGATGTTTCTCTCTCATTGATGTTTCTGGCTCTCTGTCTCTCTCCCTTCCTCTCTGTAAAAAATCAATAAAATATATTTAAAAAAAAACAAAAAAGAAAACTATAACACAAGTGCAATGCAGATAATTAAGCTAAGATAATGTAATAGATAATCCCTGAGTGGACCCCCTGGATTAGGTGATCAGAAGAAGCATCTGTGAAGAAGTAACCCTAACCTGAGATCTGAGCAGTAAGGACCCAGATGCGAAAAGATCATGGCAAGACCTTCCAGGGAGAGGAAATAGCCTGTTTCAGTATCCCAGTTGGCTGACTCATAGTGAACCATGGACATGAAGAGTGATATGCCAGAAGTAGGAAAGACAGAGAGTTCACATAAAGCTTTGTAAGCCAGGGTAGGGTAGGATGTTTTTATTTTAAGTTTATAATGGGAAACCATTGGAAGTTTTGTTTCTTTAAAAAAAGGTTTTTATTGATTTCAGAGAGGAAGGGAGAGGGATAGAGAGATAAAAACATCAGTGATGAGAGAGAATCATTGATTGGCTGCCTCTTGCCCGCCCCGCAACCCAGGCATGTGTCCTTGGCTGGAATCAAACCTGGGACCCTTTAGTCCACAGTCCGACACTCTATCTACTGAGCCAAACCAGCTAGGGCACCTTTGGAAGTTTTTAAGCAGGTATGGAATGTGGTTGTTTTTTGTTTTGTTTTTTTAATATGTTTTTATTTTTTTCAGAGAGAGGAAGGGAGAGGGAGAGGAAGAGAAACATCAACGATGATAGAGAATCACTAATTGGCTGCCTCCTGCATGCCCCCTACTGGGGATCAAGTCCACAACCCGGGCATGTACCCTGACCAGGAATCAAACCCTGACCTCCTGGTTCATAGGTTGATGCTCAACCACTGAACCACACCAGCCGGCGGAATATGGTGTTTTAAAGGTGATTTCTCAAAGCTCACTGTGATGGCTGTATTGGGAATGGACAATGACCCAGCAGCAAGAGGGGAAGTGGGAAGACTGGGTAGGAAGTGGGGGTGAGATGCATGTGGAAGGCCATGGCATGGTGGACCAGGGAGGTGGTAGAGGAGATGGAGAGAAGGAGACATAGGGGCTGTTTCAGAGGAAGAGTTAACAGGACTTGCTGCTGGCATGGATGTGGGGGACAAGAAAAAGACAAGCTGCCCTAGCCCGTTTTGCTCAGTGGATAGAGGGGTCCTGTGGACTGAAGGGTCCTGGGTTCCATTCAGGTCAAGAGCACATGCCCGGTTGTGGGCTCAATCCCCACTGGGGGGAAATGCAGGAGGCAGCCGAGCAATGATTCTCTCTCATCATTGATGTTTCTATCTCTCTCTCCCTCTCCTTTCCTCCCTGAAATCAATAAAAATGTTTTTTAAAAAAGAAAAAGAAAAGCATTGAAGCTGAGTCCTAGTTTTTGTCTTGAGTGGCTAGATGGATGGTGGCACCGTCTACTGAGCTGAGGAAGATTTGAGAAGTGGCTTCAGGGTTGGGAGGGAACGTGCAGTCAAGGGCTCTCTCCTGACTGTATCACGTTGCATGTGCAGTACTTTGAGGAATGATACTGCTCAGGGCACCTGGGCACTGACTCTGCTTCGTCCCCTGGGTGGGGCTGTGTCTGAGTTTTGTTCACGAACCAGGAAAACCTGATATATCAAACATTCCCTTAAACAGAGTATTTGTTTAAATAATAATCGCGATGTGAGCCCAAATCTAAAAAGACTGGCATGTTAAGATACAAAATTTCCATTTTGCAAGATGAAAAAAAGCTCTGGAGATGGCTGATGATGATGGTTGCACAACGGTGTGAATATACTCAGTGCCACCAAACTCTGCACTTGAAAAGGGTTAACTTGGTCAATTGTATGTGTATTTTACCACAATTTGTAAAAACAATAATTTTTTAATTGACTGTGGATGGTATAGAACAGATTTGGTTTCTCAAAACACTCAAGACTGTACCTTGCATGGATAGTGCTTGTCCTCCTCCCCCCCTTTTGGGGCTTCCGTGGCCAGGGAGTGACCAGTGTGGCTCCTTCACTTCCCCTGCCTGTTTGTATATGGTCTTGGCTAACAACACAGGGGACCTGCAGTGTGGGGTGGACATGGCTTCTCACTGTTCCTGCTTGACCACCTGGGACATTGCAGAGCCTGTTACACACCCAGGGGTGGAGTCCACAGGAACTGGATATTCCAGTCTGAGTTTCCAAAGAGGTCAGGGCTAAGACATGGATTGGAACGTTTGCTCTTCTCCCTCAGGAGCTCCCGTCACGTAGAAGTTGGGCCATCACATTCCTCCTCTATTATCCCTTCACACTACCTCTTCTTCATGCTGTCCTTTCTCCCACTATCCCTGTGTGTTCCCGTTGTCTATTATCTATTTCACAAGTAAAGCAGAATATTTAAAACATATAGGTAACTTTAATCCAGTAATTCTACTTCCATAAAATTTACACTAAAGAAACAGTATCAAAACAAGAAAAAAACTGTTGGTGTGAAGCTGTTTACTGTATAATTAATTAGTCTAAAAAATGGAAAACTAGAAGCAGCATAAATGTTCAGTTGCCAGAGTATGGTTGGGTGGAAAATATGATGGGCCCACTTGAGGGAATATGATGCAGACACTAAAACATAAGTTTGAGGTGTAGAAATAAACAAATTCATTTAAATTTCTGGTGAAAAACATTCAGTTTTTCAATTACATGAAAAAAAACTAAAGGTATACAGACATGTTAATAGTGGCTGGAACATAACAGAAATTATAGTTGAATTTATTTTCATTTTTATAATACTTCGGTGATGTTGTTGCTTTTATAATGCATGTATTGTAAAAGAGGGGGTGTACGGTAAAGATTCTCTCCAATGGAAATGAGAGAAAAGGGAACTTGGCATGTGCGTAAATCTTTTAAGGGCTAGTGTAAAGGCAATGAGGTGGAATTAGAATCAAACGGTACCTCTGGTAGCCACCAGGGGGTGTCATCAGCCCAGAGCAGGTTGATTAATAGCGAGGTGCAAAGTGGCTCCAATCCCAGACATAGTGTGCAGTGGACTGTTTATATTTTACAGGATGTTTACAAGTTGTGTGTGTCATTCAGTTTATGAATCTGCCCATGTTGATGGATTGAGATTACCCATAGAAGTAAATTATCTACCTCCTGTTTGGAGCGAAATTAAATGCCTGGTTGGTGGTGTGTTTCAGGATGAGCTCTATTTCCTATTAATGATTGACTAATATTTACAGACTGGAAGTTTGAAAGATGGCAGTGCATTCTACTCATCCTATAAAACTATTGCAGCTTGGCATCATTAAATTTTTGTCAGCTTGTGGGCTATCATGTCTACCAAGGACTGGAATAGGGGAATTCCAAAGTAGAATAAATTGGGAGTCTTTGCTCAGCTGGTTTTCAAGTAATAATCAGTACGTAAGTTTTTTACCTAGTGAAGTCGCTTAAAAATGAAAATCAAAAGAGGGGTTGAGGGCACAGAACTGTTTCCCAACTCCCTCTGTGGCCTGACTCTCCATGACTGAGAGAAACTTAAGTGGGTGAGGTCAGTGAACCAGGTGTGCCGGATCCCTGTGTGTTTCTAGGATCTCTGCCAATAGATGAATCTTATCACCAGGGAGCAGCTCCTGCCTTGAGTGTCTGCCCCCTGATGGTCAGTGCATGTCATAGCGACTGGTCGTTCTGCCATTTAGTCGATTTGCATATTAGCCTTTTATTATATAGGATGCTTGCTTTCTTGGGAAAGAAACAGCTGTTTTGGTCATTTCTGTCAATGGCTTTATTTAAGTTCTGAGTTCACATATATCACAGAGCACTTCCTTAATCTTTTTTTTTTTTTTGAAATTTAAAGATGAAATATGTTAAATACTGTTGGGTTTTTTTTCAAGTATCTGATCCTACCTAAGCATAGAGATGCTGTTTATTTCATGGGGATGCTATGTCTATGAATATGATATCACCTGCAACAGAAACTCTTTTCTTCAGCATGGTTGGAGGAAAGAGGAATTTCAGGCAACTCAATTCTATTTTAGAGGAAAGTACAATATCTTTGAGCAGGTGTCTACAAACTTTTTTCAGTCAGGCCAGTATTTTATAGTTTTTGTAGGTCATACACAATCTGTCCTACTTAGTCACCTCTGTCTTTGTAGTTGGAAAGCAGTGATAGACAATATGTAAACAAATGAACATAGTTGTGTGCCAATAAAACTTTATGAACACTGAAATTTGAATTCCATGTCATTTTCATATGTCACAAAATATTATTTCTTAGCCACTACAAAATGTAGAAGCCATTCTTAGTGCACAAACCATATAAAGACAGGTGACAGTCCAGATTCGGGCCGCATACCATAGGCTGCAAACCCCTATCCTAGAAGGATTAATATGTGACAGTTCCAAAGGACCTCTTAAAGGTGTGAGGCTTAGAGAGTGGTCACAGATGTTACAGATCTGAAGTTGCCTCTGGATCTGTTTGTTAGGACAGAGGAGAGCGAGGTCTCGTTTAGAAACTGGCATTGAGGGGCGTTGAGGAAGGAAAGGGGAAAGAGAACAGGGGAGAGTTGATCAGCAAAGGCTAGGAAATTCCTTTGCTTCCTTCCTTTTTTTTTTTTCTGCAGCTCTCACCAAAGTGAACTGATTAGTTAACCAGCAAATGATCATTCCCTGGCCTGATTGCTTTCACAGACCTTTGCAGTTTGAATGGTGATAAATGGCGTGTGTGACTAAGAGCACCACTCTAAGCCTTCTCATGCGTGAGGAGGACCTGAGGCTGGTTCCTCTTCAGTAGGAATTAGGACTGTGTGATTTTCTGCTCTTTATGTGGCCACCATGATTTCAAATATGGGCTCATCATCCTCAGAACCTGAGATACTGGCTCTAAAATTTTAATATTTGAGAGCCAAAATTAAATCTCCCAGGTTGCCTCTCTCCCCTGAGTGTGGTGCTGAAAAATTTTTTTTTTAATTAAAAAATGTCATCAACTGCTTTGGCCTCCCTGCCTTCTCCCTGCCTCCTGAGGAGACCAAAACCCCCTGTTCTCCTCCCCATCCCCCCTTAGCAAAGCAAATCGCGAGGATTCCGCCTCTTCTCCCCATTGTCCCGTGGCCTCCACCTACCTTTCCTGCCTGTCCCTGTCCCCGCTGTCAATCTCTCCAGGGATTGCTTGCTCCCCAGTTGTTATCACATCCCAGCTGGCACCGCCTGCAGGAGCTCTGGCCTCACGGGCAGTCTCCCTCCGGGTCCCTCTGCCACATCATGTGGCCCAGCCTTCTTCCATGGCCTTGGCCCCTAAGGCGTCTCCATCTTCCTACATCTCCTGCTGCCGGTGCTGAGGTCCTCTTCGAGTCCCTGCTCCTCTCACCTCTTCCTTCATTTGCCTGACCCTCCTCCACACACTCCCTTCTCCTCGGTCCCATCTCCCTAGTATAAACCACAGCATCTGGTGGAGAGGTTCTGATTTGGCAGTTTGTATTTTTCCATTTTGCACAAGTTTCAAAGAAATGTCAAGTATCCACAGTGTGGGACTTACTGAACAAGTGACTATGTGTGTCTTTTTTAACCTACCTTATGTATTTAAGTCTCCCTTATATTTTCTTTACATTTCCAGATTTTCCATCATTGGGCAAACCTGAGTTGGTGAGCCAGAGAGCCACTCCCGTACCCCCTCATCCAACAGGTTATTCAAAGCCCACAGGTACCTTATGGAGAGATACATTTTCTCAGAAGTTTGGAGCCTCAGATCACGTGGAGAAACTACTCAAGATTGATCCAGTGAGCACACCGTCCCCTGTTTATCAAGAAAAAGGGCGTTCTCAGAGCCCCCAGTTTTCCTCAGGACAAAGAATAGGGCATCTGCTGCCTGAAAATGTGACGACATTCCCCACTGCTGCTGCTCTACATACCGTCTCCGCCTCTCCAGAGCCCCGGTCTCTCTTCCCCACCCGTGCTCCAGGCACGCCGTCTGTGTCTTCCCAACCACAGGCGGCCACCACAGCTCCGCCTGCAGCGACAGTCAGGTCTCAGCCTCCCGCAGTCACCTCTACCATTTCCACACGTGCAGTGGTTACACCTCAAGCTCACGTGACTACCACAGCAGCTCCAACCACCATCTTTCAGGCACCTACAGACTTGAAAGGCCCACCAGAAACGGGGCCCTTTAGAGAAACTTCCAACCTAACTGTGACCACAGAGCAGGTCCCTAACCCCGCTATGGGTCTTTTGCCAAATGCGGGTTCTCCCGCTATGAAGAAAACTGCTCCCCAGGAAGATGAAAAGACCAGTTTAGGCGGCTCCTCCCAGCGCGGTGTTTCAGAGAGTCAGCCCGGCCTCCCATACGAAAAGTGGCTCCTCATCGGGACCCTGCTCTTTGGCGTTCTGTTCCTCACAATAGGTCTGGTCCTCTTGGGTAGAATGCTCTTGGAATCCCTCCGTAGGAAACGTTACTCCAGACTTGATTATTTGATCAATGGGATCTATGTGGACATCTAAGAACAAAACTACGTGTCTCTTAATTCATGTGGTTCCTAGTAGCCCAAACGCAGTGAGAGTCTACTAACTCGCTGATCCTAGGATTTTTGAAGGTATTTTAAAGGAGGTCAAGAGCCACCTACCACTTTCTTTTTTCTTTTTTTTCTAAGGGGGGAAAGAAAGCAAATTAGGTGATTGGAGTGATCTGTCTCTAAAATATTAGCTGAAAACAAAGCTTTACTTAAAGGAATAATGTATAATTGCCATATAAATTTGAAAAATGACTATTTTTTTGTTTGTTTTAGAGGGAAGGGGGAGAAAATGGTTAGGACTTCTAGGCTCCAATTTGTTAATATTTTTAGTTCCAGATAAAGTCATCTACTTATGACATTAATTCTAATGGATTTACTTTCCTTTTATATGTATACCAATGAAACTTATTCCAGATGTATTTCCCTCCAATTAAATATTTGAATAAATCTTTTGTTACTCAGTAATGTTCTTGTAAGTCATATGCCCAGCTGGATAACTTTCCATTTATTCCCACCAGTAAATGATTAAATGATGAAAATATGTGTTCTAAATTAAAATGAAAATTCCCCTCCCCCTTTTCTCATCAATGAGCAAAGAGGTTCCTTTGGGAGAATTCTAGCAAAATATTAGGTTACATGGAGACAATGATAAGTCAGTTCTGATGCCCAAATCTACTTTGGATCTATTTTAATTTACTTTTTAAAAAAATAATAATAATATAGGAATTTTCTTAAATTTAGAACTTTACCATATTCTTTATAAATCCTTATCTAAACTTGACGGACACTCATTTTTTGGCTTTATTTGTAGTAACATTGGAAATAACAGATAGCACTTACAATTTTTATTCAAGGATTAGTGTGTTTAACTTTCATTGATTAGTTATTGAAATGTCTGAGAAATGCTTTTAATATACAGAGTTTGCCAGACAAGTTACAGTGGGTCACTAAGAAACCAGGAGGCCACCTAGGTCAGTTTGAGATCTGCAAAAGCAGAGGTTTGGTCCCTTCCTGGTGATAAAATGGAATTCAGGTGAGAACTTTACACAGTGAACACTAGAGGGCAGTAAGTGGTTAATAAGTATAGCAAGGAAGGCAAATGTAGGAAATGATAGAAACAGGCTTTTCTCTTTCCTCATCTCTTCCTTCCAGTCCCCTCTCCTGGAACCCTATCTCCCCCTCCTACCCCCTGGCTTATACATAAAGCTCATTAAGAGGAAAGCTAGTCTACTGAAAATAGTATTTTTCACATATTTTCCAACTTAACAGTTTGACACAAATCTCCAAGGGGTTTACATAAGCTTTAAGTAGGTTGAATAAATAACACCTTGAATCAATTTAATTTAACAAGCATTTATTGAACAGCCACCTGTAGGCCAGAATCAGATTAGTAACTAAGAGCCTCAGAATTTTTAAATCCCCCCCCCCTCCTTTTTGATGGAACTAAATCGTGGAAATAAGGCTTTTCTGTGGGTGTTTTTAAGAGCTTTCTCCTGCTTCTCTTGGACCTCTCCATCTCCTTGCTGCGTACAGTCTTCTTCGAGATGGAAACTTGATGGGGAGCCCAGACCTGAGGCCCTAGCTGTAGTCCAGATGAGAAATGGTATGGGGCCAAACCCTGGCAGTGACTGGGGACGGATGTAGATTGTAGGGGAGCCGTTGGATTTAGGACCTGCTTCTAAGAGGTGGACTAGCTCCCCTCACACAGCGGATGAGACTGCTGCAAGGGGACATCAGAGGGGAAAGAAGCCTGCATTTGTGTTCTTTTAAAGAACTGTAACAGCGATTAGCTTAGCGGCTAAGCCTTAGCCGAACTTTTAGACAAGGTGCTCTGAACTATGAGCTCTCTCCTTTGGCTTGTGAAAAGGGAAGGTGACAGCCTGGTACGGGTGAGTAGACTACAATGGTTCCCCCTGCTCAGAAAATATTCTCTATCCATGGTTAATGGAAGATAGTCACCTGGGTTAAAAGGCAATTCTTAAAAAAGAGAATGAGCCCTGAAGAACACAGCCTACCCTGGATGAATACCGCTGCGTTCTTGTTTCTCAGTGAGCCTTGCCTGAGTGAGGCATCCTTGAAACTCTTTGGTTCCCAGGTTGTGGTGGGCACTACAGTTTATCCACGCAACAGCCACCCCCAGCTCCACGTCTGCCTTATTTGTGATAGGTTGGAAGTGTCAGATTCCTTCCCAGCCCCTCTTACAGTTAGGGATGGACCTGTGACCCATTTCCAGCTTACGGGAAACCTACTGGAGGCTTCTGGGAAAGATTATCCTCCTTGATAAGTGAGGGTCACACAAGTAAGGAAGCCTCTTTTGCCTCTAACTCCTTATTTCCTGCTTGGAATGTTGGTCAGGTGATTCTCAACCTTCCTAATACCGCGACCCTTTAACATAGTTCCTCAGGTTGTGGTGACCCCCAACCATAAAATTATTTTCGTTGCTACTTCTTAACTGTAATGTTGCTACTGTTATGATTCGTAATGTAAATATCTGATATGCAGGATGTATTTTCAGGGGTCACTGTAAGGACTTGATAACTTGGAGCTACTGCATGTAGCTATCATTGATAGTGAAGCAAACATATACTATGTGCCAGGCACACTTTTACATATACGAACTCATCCCTACAACAGCCTCATGAAGAATTTCTTAAAAATATGTTTTTATTGATTTTAGAGAGGAGGGGAGAGGGAGAGGGAGAGAGAAACATCAATGATGAGAGAGAGAGAGAACCAAGATGGCAGCATAGGTTAACGCCGGAGTTTGCTGCCGTGAACAACCACTTCAAAAGTGAAACTAAAAGACAGTACGGACACCATCCAGAACCACAGGAACACTGGCTGAGTGGAATTCCTACAACTAGGAGGAAAGAGTAACGCGTACGGACACTCAGAGGAGGCGCAGTGCTGAAGTCAAATTCTGAGGTGCAGAGTGCATGGAGCGGGCTGGCGGCGCAGAGGCCGCGGTTGTTGTTTTCAATCGGGAGGGAGTCGCAGACTCTGAGCTCCAGATCTGAGCGAGTCTTTAGGGGCACAGACTCAAACTGGAGAAGCGGGACGGTCTGGTTTCAGTCGGAACTCGAGGGTAGCTTTCTCTCCGAGGTTTGCAGCGGTTGCTGGGACTCAGAG